GTCGGGAAAAGTCGAAAATCAGCAGGCTTGCAGGCCTCTGTTGAAACACCGGAGCCCAAGTCGGAATCCGAAGTCGAATCGAATCGGAATTGGAAACCATCGGAATCAAGTCGAATCGAATTGGAGGAATCGACGCGAGCCCTGCCCGTGGCCCCGGGGCAGCTCTGGCAGCACCCGAAATGCCCGCACCCGTCGCAGCGGTGGAGCGGCCTGTGCTCCCGAGGCCTCAGCGCGCCCCGCCGCCGCAGCAGCGCGAGCCTCCTCTGCGACGTTCCGGGGCAACGTGAGGGGGGGGTAGGCTTAGGTCGGGCATGTCCCCCACACAGGCGTTTTTTGTAGGACAATTCGAAACATACGCAACAAATGCTCACACATAGTCAAAACATAGTCGAACATCGCCCCCATGCTCTTTCTTATATATATATATGTGTATATATATAAATATGTATAAAACTTGTTTTTTTGAATACTCCTCCTGAAGAGGGACTTGCCCGATTCAAGGGTAGACACCGGGAGGAAACGTCGACCCGGAATCGAGGCCACCCAACTTCGCACATCGCGCGCCCCGCGACGCGCGATCATCTTCGCGCAATCGCGCCGCCGCTCTGGCGCAGAGGCGCCCCTCCACCATTCTCCAATGCAAGCCGTGATGCGCGACGCGCGACCATCTTCGCGCCCCCTCGAGCGACCTGCAGCCCTCGTCAAAATCCCACCAGCCCTCTGGGGCGCAGGTGGTCCCAAGTCGTTCGCCCTGGCCCGACACTGGAGGGGCGTCTATCGACTTTGAAGGGCGCGCCGACATCGCAGGGGCGTGGTCGCCATGTCCTAGGTTCATTTTGACGAGGGTAGCAGCAAGGATGCCGGCGATGCGTCGCCGATGGCTCCGCGATGGACCCCCCCGAATGGCGGCACCGCGCGCTCCTGGGCGGCGTGGGCTTCCAGAGGCCCACATCGGCCATCCATGGGCGACTGGGGCCGATGCCCCCCCCCCCGCCTGAGCCCACTCCCCCCCTGACGTTGCCCCTGGGACGTGCCCGCCGGCACAAGCAGCTTCGCGCCGCCGGCGCGCCTCCGCCGCGGCCCGGGCGCCGCGGGGCGCGCGTCGTCGGCGGCGGCGGGGGCAGCCGCGCGCTGCATGGCGCCCAGGGCCGCTGCAGCGCCGCGCCCGGCACGGAGCTCGGCCCAGGAGGCACGGGCAGCGACCGATCCAGAGACGGAGCTGTCCGCGGTGCAGGCGGACCAGGCGTGGTGCAGCGCAGAGACTGGAAGAGCTTTCCGCCAAGCGAGAGCAGCAGAAGAGAGAGAGACCACGTGTCCAGTGACCTCCTCTCGCGCCAAAGACACTGGCTATGAGGACAGGCTTGGGAGGACAGGTCCTGTCCCCCGTCGCAGCGTGGAGGGGGGGGGGAAGAGCGCCGTCGTGGGGTGGACGGGGGGGACGACAGAGGGACAGAGGTCTCATCTTGCGTCGTCGTCCTCGCCGCCCGGAGGGCGTGAGGGGCGCGAGGTGCGAGAGGAGGGCGCCTGCGCCGTCTTGAAGGGCACGGATGAGAAGAGGAAGGCGAGGGTGTCGGGGTCGAGGAGGGGAGCGGCTGGCGACACAGGCTCGGCAACAGCCGGCGGTCAGTACCGGAACCTTCCCCGTCTGAGGGCACTGCGAGAGTTGGCGCTTGCACCCCAAACGGAGGAGGCCCCGCTCTTGAGCTGGTCCGCGCATCTGGGGTGGAGGGGGGCGATGTATAGAACGACAGCGTTACTGCTGCAACAGGGGTGTACACACACATGTGTGTGTGTATATATATATATATATATATATATATGCGCGCATCTCTACACATGCATCTCTATACATGTTTGTATGGTGCGCGCACCGAGAGCGCAGCGGGGATCGGGCTCGTTGGCGCACACGCGCACGACGTGTGGCCTCTGAGCGGCTGGGGGCCCTGGAGACGCAGGAGCAGGAGCGAGACGAGGGAGACGGTGCGAGGCATGGGGAGCGGGAGCGCGCCCGGGTCGGGGAAACGTAAGACTCGGGTACGGGGGACTCGGGTTGGCCCGACGGGGCCATCATGAAAATGACGAGGCCCAATCTGAAATTTGACGCGAACTCCCGCTGCAGACATCCCACGAAAACTGGACCGTCAAAATCCAGGACGCGCTCGTCAAAAAAACGTCGGCAAACCGGGGTTCTGGCTTACTCGGGTCTTGCCTTTCCCCGACCGGGGGGGGGGGGGGGGAAGGCAGAGGGGGCGGGCCTTCTTCGAAGGCCCGGCACGCCTCTGGCCTGGCGAGAAGCTGCCCAGGCCCTCGCCGCAGTCGCAAAGGGGGCTTCTCAGCAGGCCGGAGGGCTTCTCAGAGGCTCCGCCGCCTGCCGAGAGGGCCTGCCCCGTCTCACTGCCCCCCTCGGCGCGCCGCCGAGGAGAGGATGTGCTGGGAGAAAGACAAGACAGAGAAGAGGAGGGCAACCTCTGGAGCAGACAAGCGCACCACGAAACGCAACATCTCCCCGAACTCGTCTGCCGACGCTGGGAATTACAAGATCGGCCGCTCCGGTCCCCGGACTGGGCTTCGGCCCCAGCTCCGGCGCTTCGGCCCCCCTCCAGACCTGCGGCGCCTCGATTTGCTTGACGCCCGGGCCCCCGACTTCTCGACCACGTCCCCAGGACCGTTTCGTCGTCCCGAGCCGTTTCTCGGCGGTCCCGAGGCCCGGTGAGGGCCCGGAGGGTCCGAGAAAACGAGGCGAAGCCTCCGCCTCAATGTTTTTCGAGACGCCGGATGTCTGGGTCTGGCTTCCCAGACCCCCGACGTCATGATTTTTTCATGACGCGACCCCCAGAGGTCCGGACCTATTCGCCGGGACCGGTTTTTCATCCTGAGTCGTTTTTTGACGGTCCCGAGGGCTGGTAAGGGCCCCCAGAGGCGGAAAATATGGAAAAACCTCCCGTCGTGATTTTTTCATGACTCGAGGGGGTCTGGCTTCGGTCTATAGCGGCCCTGGCTCCGGCCCGCTGCGGCTCGCCGCGCCTCCCCCGAGCGAGGGGGACCCGGGAGCCGGCGCGGCCCAGAAGGCGCCCCCCTCCCATGGCTTCCTGGCGCCCTCACGGGCGAGGGCCCCGGACTCGTGACGTCCCGGGGCCTCGTCGATGCGAAAGCTAGGGGCCTCCTCCTCCTCCTCCTCCTCCTCCTCCTCCTCCTCCTCCTCCTCCTCCTCCTCCTCCTCCTCCTCCTCCCCCTCCCCCTCCCCCTCCCCCTCCCCGACGATGTTCTTGATTCCCAGGGGTGCCCTAAGGCTTCTGCGGGTCCCCAGGGTCGTCGGGGGACGAGACGCCTCCGCAGCGGGGCACCCGCCGGCCTGCCGACTCCTCCTCCGACGTGCCTGCTCTGCCCTGTGACCTTCGCGAGGCCCTCCTCTCGGCGGCGGGCGAGGGGAGGGCACGAGAGGGGGAAGGCCTTCTCAGACGGCGGCGGGGCTTCTCAGAAGCCCTCGCGTCTTCTGAGAGACGTTCTGTGCAAGGCCGGGGGGGCTTCCGAGCCTTCTGAGAAGGCCCGCCCCTTCTCCTCCTCCTCCTCCTCCTCCTCCTCCTCCTCCTCCTCCTCGTCCTCCTCCTCCTCCTCCTTCGGGCGCGCGCCGCCGATGTTAGATCATCGTTGAAGGTCATCTCCTCGACCGCCGAAGCTGTCGAACCGAGCGCCGGAGAGGCGGGAGCTGTTCCATGTTATGGTCGCTTTCCTTTTCGGCCCGTGCCAGGTGGTCCTCGCGGAGAGAGGAAGGAGAGAAAGAGGGACGATGACGAGCAGGAGAAGGGACAGGGCCGAGGACGAGAGGGGGAACGGGAAGGAGGGATGACCTCCTCGTACGGCGCGGGGAGGACGCGACAGGAGGAGGAGGAGGAGGAGGAGGAGGAGGAGGAGGAGGAGGAGAAGGATAGTAAGGATGAGGGACCGAGGTGCGGGGGAGGGGGAATGAGCAGAAGGACAGTGGACAGATGATGATGATGACGATGATGATGATGATGATGATGATGATGATGATGATGATGATGATGATGATGATGATGATGGTGGTGTTGGTGGTGGTGGTAATGGTTGTGGCGGGTGGTGGTGATGATAATGATGATGACGAGGAGGAGGAGGAGGAGGAGGAGGGAGAGGAGGTGGAGAAGGAGGAGGAGGAGGAGGAGGAGGATAACATTGGTCACGAGGACAGACAAGATAATATGCCGAGGAGAAATATGGAGAAGAGGGGGGGAGGGACGAGAAAGGTGAGGAGGGCTACGAAGATGAACGTGAGGAGGGTGATGACAAAACGAACGATAATGAGGGTCGGGGACGTCCATCGGGCCTCCGATCTCGATGCCGAGCTCCGCCGCTTCCACGTTGCTGCAGGGCGCCATGAGGCTCATTCCTGCACGCAAGGCGGGCGCCGTCTCCGCGGACCAGAGCAGCACGCAGAGCAAGAGGAGGCAAAGCAACCACACCTCTTCCACACATCTTCCTTCCCTGTGCATGTGTGTATATGTATATATGTATGTGTGTATATGTGTATACATATGTACTATATACGCAAGACTTGAAGCTCGCTGCGCTTCGCTTTAAAGTCTTGGTATAGTGCACTGTGTGCGAGGCGAGGGGGGGAGGTCAAACGGGCGTATTGGGCCGAAACGCAGCTACACGTGGAGGCAAAAAGGGGGCTGCGAGAAACAGCAAAGCACGCGGGGTGGTGGAACAGGTGTGCGCGCTTCGACGACGGCGACGACGACTCGTCGTCGCCGTCGTCGGTCATCTTGAGGTGGTCTTAGGCCTTCTGGGACCCGCTTTTGGGGGCGTTTTGGCCGTTTTGGGCCGGCCTTGGGTCGACGTTGCCGTCGTCGTTGTTGGGCTTCAGGAGGGTCGCGTCGAGTCCCAAAGACGACTCCGCCAGTGTGCTTCGGAACGTGCGATCCGGTGGATTAGCTCGGAAGCTGTCCCAAAAAGTCTCCGTCATATATGTGTACATATACACATATCCATGGATATATGTGTATGTTTATTTATACATTTATATATATATATATATATATATAAATGTCTATGTATGTGCATGAGCCTGTAGGCAAACTGAGCATACATTTATTTGGGTGCTCTTGCATGTGTGCCTTTCTTGCCAGGGATGGGGGTGGGCCCTGGCGGCCCCTGCAGAGGGCCCCCTCGGCCTCCCGGACGCTTCCGCTGGGCCCAGCCTGGCCTCTGGGCCCCGAGCGACCCCGGAGGGTGGCCAGACGGCCTCGCGAGAGCCCCACGCGGCCTCGGACAGGCCCCCCCCCAGACGCCCGAAAGACGACCCAGGTAGCCCAAAGGTGCCAGTCGCATGCAGAAGGTCTAGACATGTACGGTAGAAGGAACACTGGCCATCACTCGGGCCTCCATTTCCTGTGCTTTTTTTGGTTTCGTGCGTGGTTTTTTCGCCAAATGATCAAGGACGCTCCTCGATGGTCTTCGCCGAAGGAAAACTGCACACGTCCGAGCGATGCCAAGAACACGTTTGCGTCGGCGGCGAGGCAGGGGTCGTTTGCGCCAACGAAAGGCCTAAACGAGGGTGCCGTTAGAGCGAACTGTGTCACCGTGCAGGAGGGGGAACAGGAGGAGGACGCGGCCGAAAGAGGGGTGGGACACGGTAGAAGGAAACAGTTCCTGGACACTCCCTCGCCCCCCCCCCGAACACAAAGCTTGCACGCGCGGGGAAGAGTGCGGTCGAAGCGCAGCCCACATCCAACCCACGGCCGACATTGGTCATTGGGGGGGCATTGACAGATGACTGCTGCACGAGTGTATATGTTTGCATATGTATGGTATGTTGTATATGCTTGTATATGAGGATCAACCGAGGCCTGATGGTATATGTTTGTGCAATTTGAGCTTCTCGGCTCTTTGGTATTTGGGCTTCCGAAGCCGCCCAAGAGGCCCCGACGCTCGCACACAAAAGCTGGCCAGAAGGGCATCCGGAGAGTCCAAGGAGTGCAGGGAGACAGTGGTTGGCAGCTAGGTGGGCCCAAAGAGCCCCCCGAGGCTCCAAGAACGCGCCCAGGAGGAGGCCTCCAGGAGGCCCCCAGCTTTCGTGACGGCCCCGAGCGTCCGCAAGAACAACCGATGAGGAAGACGAGGCAGGGCGAGAAGGGTAAGAGGCATAATGCGACGTGAGAACAAAAGAGAAGTGCATCCCCCTTTCGAGGGTATCTGGCCCGCCATGCACTTGCACGATAGCGCGAAGCATGAGGCCGATGCGCGCTGGGGACTGCAGCACTCCTCACCTCAGGTCGGGCATGTCCCCCTACAGGCAGATTTTGGGCGACCATGTAAAAATAATACACGATAATCCCAACTAGTCAAACATACAAAACAATCGTCCCACGACTACTTTCTAATATTTTCGAACATTCCTCCTGTAGAGGGACATGCTCGACTTAATCCTCACCCCCGCGAGCCGGTGTCGCCGCCCAGGCTGCAGCAGCCTGGGCGGCTGGCGGCTATGGGCGGCCCGCCAGAAGTTCGAGCCGACCGCTTCTCATGAACAGGGCCGGCTACACGCGAGAGCGACCCTGGGCAAGAGAAGCATATTTTTGGCGTCGCGCACAAGGGGGTGGAGGGCTTTTTCCCTACCTAGGCTCTGCCTAGAAAGGTTCTTGCTCGGTATGCTTGGAGGGCCGGGCAGTGCAACTCGCCCCGGGCGGTTCCCCCAGTATACGCTCCGCGGTTCCTCCAGTGACGTTCCCTTAGCTTAGCGTTGCCTATCTCATCTATGCTTAGCTTATTTCATCTTAGCCTAGCTTCATCTTAGCTCATCTTAGCTTCATATAGAGGTTGCTTTCCTAGATCCTCCAACTCCTAGGTAAGGTCGCACTGGGATCATTAAAAGGAGGCTGCTTTTTAGAATGCCCCGGCCTTACATGTGTAGATAAGGCCCGCGCCTTCTAAGAAGCAGGGGTGTTTCTAAGAAACCCTCCCCCCTCCCCACGCCCCCCTCTGCACGTGGCTGACCTTTGGTGCGAGACTTTGTGGGGGACGCGGGGGGGCCAACACACAACTGCGCAAAACGCATTATCGCATCGCCTTCGGCGATCGGGGACCCCAGTGGGCCGGTACCAGAGGTCACGCTGGAGAAGGGTCACTCTGATACGTATAGCCGACATGCACAGAGGGCGGGTGGGGTCCGCATGTCTGCGGCCGGCGCGGCGTGCAGCAGACTGGCAGCGCTCGCAAAGCGCTGCCCCGCTGGGCTCACTCAGTGAACGTAGGTTACGAACTGTAGGGTCGAACGTGTCGTGGAATCCGTTGGCAGAAGATGAAGCGAGAGAGAGTGAAAGCGTCCTCTGTTTCCCTCTCACGGCCCGATAGTCATCGGGCTCACTGTCCAATGCCTGAGCCGAGAGGGTTGCAGGATGGATGGGTAGAAGGAGGAGAAGAGCAGTCTTCACACACACACACGCGCACTCAGGAGAGTTCCGCGGCCCGCCCCTTTCCCGCGGCCAGCTAGAAGTCAGCGCTCGGTGCGCCGCTGCCGCGGCGGGCTCGGTGAACCGCTCCGCGGCCCGCGCCTTTTTTTGTGTGGTTTAGATACCAATGCGACCACCCTGCGGGTGATTAGGAGGTTGGGGGGGGGGCAGCAATGGGCAAAAATGGTGATTGTTGTTCTGACAATGCCTGTGGGGCGGAGTCTAGTGAGTAGTGTGATTGTGCACGCGAGCGTGACGTGATGTGGCGATGTTGGCGAAGCGCGCTCGACATTGTCGTGAAGCGCTGTCCCCGCCTGCGCTTATCAATCGCGCGACCCTCACCTCAGCGCTAGTCGACGTGGTCGAACCTGCTGCGCTGGTCGACGTGGTCGAACGAGCGTCCCAAGCCACAGGAGGACTTCGGGATACCAGCGGGACACCACGGGACACCACGGGCCACCGGTCGCCGGAGGAGAATTATTTGGTCCGGCCGCGGCCCAGCCACAGGAGGATTTCAGGACGCCAACGGGACACCGGCGGGACACCGGCCGCCGGAGGAGAAACATTTGGTCTGGCCGCGGCCCAGCCGCAGGAGAATTTCCTCTCGCCCGCCCACGTAGTTTCGCTTCGCCCGCACGCACGCACGGCGCGCACGAGACGAATCCGAAACCGAAATCGATTTCCCGGTAGGGGGGTCTCCGTTTCACGTCGGACTTACCCCCCAACCTCCGATACAAGGCTGCATAGGCGCTTCGCGCCATGCGCATTGTTCCGGACGGTTCCCCGGCAAAGCAATACATCATCGCTTGCCTGGACGGGCGACCGGCTCATTTTTATGATATCCCTGGTGTTGCTGACATCGCGTTCGCCCGATGCGCTTGCACGCTTGCGCGCAGGAGTGCGGAAGGAATGAAGATTTTTCCCAACCATCCTGTGGTGTTTGGTCCTCGTTTTGAAGAGACAGCGCCCCGCGTCCCACCTCCTTCCTCCTTCCTCCTCTCCTCCTCCTCCTCTTCCTCCTCCTCCTCCTCCTCCTCCTCCTCCTCCTCCCTCCTCCCCCATCCTTGCCTTTGCTCTCCGCATGTCTCAGCTCACCCCCTCCTCCCATCATCATCATCATCATCATCATCATCATCATCATCATCATCATCATCATCATCATCATCATCATCATCATCATCATCATCATCATCATCATCATCATCATCATTATCATCATCATCATCGTCATCATCGGCATCGCCATGGCTGGTTCGTTTCGTGGCCCCATAGGGAGCTCCACCGAAGGCCCCAGTGGGGGGGGCTACATGCGTCCCCCACGCCCAGGACAGCGTTTCGTGGCCCCATAGGGAGCTCCACCGAAGGCCCCAGTGAAGGGGGCTACGTGCGGATCCCACTCCCGGGACAGCATTTCGTGGCCCCATAGGGAGCTTTACCGAAATCCCCAATGGGGGGTGGGCCACATGCGACCCCACGCCCAGGACAACGTTTCGTGGCCCCACAGGGAGCTCCACCGAAAGCCCCAGTGGGGGGGGGCACATGCATCCCCCGCGCCCAGGACAGCGTTTCGTGGCCCCATGGGGAGCTCCACTGAAGGCCCCAGTGGGGGGGACACATGCGTCCCCCACGCCCAGGACAGCGTTTCGTGGCCCCATAGGGAGCTTCACCGACGGCCCCGGTGGGGGGGGGCCACATGCGTCCCCCACGCCCAGGACAGCGTTTCGTGGCCCCATAGGGAGCTCCACCGAAGGCTCCAGAAGGGGGTGCCGCATGCGTCCCCCACGCCAAGGACAGCGTTTCGTGGCCCCATAGGGAGCTCCACCGAAGGCCCCAATGGGGGGGGGGGGGGCGCATGCGTCTCCCCCACCCAGGACAGCGTTTCATAGCCCCATAGGGAGCCTCACCGAAGTC